GGAGTTTTTGAAGCCGAATAACTTCTTCATATTCTAGACTAGAAATATTTGAACCTCATTAATATATTCGAACTTTATTCGAGCTCAACATTATTTGAGTTAGAAGCAACCTAAATTTACTTTGAGCTAGAACTATATGTTAAGTGATCGACTTGATTCAGCCATACTTGCCATCCATTATATTCCATCAATAGTTGTGAACCATAACAAATAATTCCATAAAAGAATTAGCTGAACTAAAAGGAATTTCCATTCTAAGCTGTTCCATATAAATAAGAGATTATTGGATATTGTTCTTTTTCCGTTGTTCAAATGCACAACAATATAACATCTGTCATATAATACCGTTGCTCACTCCTGGGTAGATTCCACCAGTAGTTATGGCTGGAACATTGGCTTCCAGAGCTTTATTCATATAGGACTTTGCCCGTGTTGCATAGCTTGTGTCATCACAAACATCAAGATAGGCTGTCTGTTGAATTGACACGACTTAATTAAAAGTTTCAATCGTCTCTTTAATAAGAGGAAGAGTTTCATAATTCTGTAATCATTTCTTATAAGAAAGTTAAAAACTTGGAAGTTATGCTGATTACCTTTCTCTCACCTTGGTCCCAATGGCAGCTTCTAGTACTTTACAGTTTTCTGACTGTTGGAATGGCCCGGCAGTATGAACCACAATGTCCACATCTGCAAATTGGCTGATTGTAAGATGAATTACATTTCCCATGTTTCAGCCAATATTTGGAGTATGAAGAACATAGTGTGATTTTATACAAGTAGGATGAGAAGTGGAATGCATCATTAACATGTAAACGAAGAAGAAAAAAAACAAGATCCTTCCGACATTCCCTGTCCTTATTTCCTTTTTCTTTTTCTGGCATAAGCCCCATATTTCTTCCATCAACTATGCCAACATATAAAATCACTCGTGTGGGAGACATTCGTGCTTATACTATATCTATGCTGACCAGTGGAAGTCTAGTATATCGACTTGTCTTAGTTTACCTTACAAGTATCCAAAAGCAAGTGCCGTAGTCATATCTAACAATCATACTTTTTAACATGTTTGTCAAACAGAAATGACGTCGTACACTAAAAAATTACAAACTGAAAAATATGCTAATATAATTTTCTTTGAAGAGTATGATTGTGCTAGTTTATCTATAGTCATACAACACAGATTCCTTAACTAATCGATCAAGGAATCAGTTTAATGCAACGAATATCAGTTTACTGAGAGTGAGGTGCTAAAGTGACAGCAGGATGGCGATAAATGACAGAGGAAGAAACATTGACTTAATATAACATTTTCCTGTTAAGATAAATTGATATAGAACATAACACCATATAGCACTGCATAGGATGTTGGTCTATGTTGCTTGGACTCTCCGAATATGTCGATGGGGGCATGCCGGATCCTCCAAAAGTAGTGCATTTTTGGAGGAACTGACACGGGTGCAGCAGCTCTTTTGGAGAGTCCCGCAACATAGATGTTGGTAATGATGATACATACTTATCAAGATATTAACATGAAATAGACAGCTGTATTTCGTAAAGTACTTCTCAAATTCAAACTATGAAAAAAGGAAGGATAACCTGTCAAATTGGCTTCTAATGCTTCTCTGTCGTCTATATTTACTTCAGCAAATTCTGAGTTTTTCCCAAGTTTTGACACCATAGCATTCCCTTTCTCCCTATAATAATGCACAACATTTTTCTTTATTCACCAACTCCAAAACCACATTCATCAAGAAGTCCAAAATTACAACAAACAATTTTTAGAAAGAAACAAAGGAAATTCATGTAGAGAATGACATGAACTAAGAGATAGATTTAACTGTGAGATTTGGATGAAAGACATAGCCAATATTAGCGATATGTTGCATGGGATTGTGAAATTGCATTTCATATATATATGGTAACTGAACTTTAGCCACTACATTAGTAAAATCAACAACAACAACATACCCAGTGAATTCCTACAAGTGGGCTCTAGGGAGGGTAGAGTGTACGCAGACCTCAGCCCTCAGGTAGAGAGGTTGTTTCTGATAGACCCTCGACTCAGGTAAGCGCAGTCACAGTAGTAAAGAAATGAATAACAAATGAAGAAAACGTTATAAAAAAGAAACAGAGGCAACAACAAGATAGTAACAAACTGGAACAAAAGCAACAACAGGTAATAATAGTGATCCTTAGCCAGAACAAGAGTAATACTAAAGCTATCGGTATGGAAGGGCCGGGCGCTATATTACCTACTAACCTTCTATCCTAATCCTCGACCTCCACAACGTACTATCAAGGTTCATGTCCTCAGTAAGCTGAAGATGCGTCATGTCCCGCCTAATCACCTCTCCCCAATATTTCTTAAGCCTCCTCAACAATAGTAAAATCACATAACTATTTTTTTGTTACATTAAAGTTACTGAACTTCACCAACAATAACAATAGATTCACAAAATTATTTTGTCACATTAAGGAAACTTTACCTACTATAACATGTAACGTCACAAAACAATTTTTAGTCACATTCAATTAACTTAACTTTACCCACCGTAAAAGTAAAGTCACAAAACTATATCTTGCTATATTAAAGTAACCGCCGAGCGTCTATCTGAAACAGCCTCTCTAATTTCTCAGAGTAGGGGAAAGGTCTGCGTATACACTACCCTCCTCAGCCTCCACGGGTAGGATTACACTAGGTTTGTTATTGTTGTTGTTATATTAAAGTAACTAAACTGTATGAAATGTTCAGAAAGCACAAAGTAGCACTCAAATTGCAGAGTGCTATTTCTGAAAGTACAAAATCCCATAAAAACTAAACTAAGTGAAAGAGTAATAACTTGAAATTCAATAAGGGGTTTTACCTATTTCGACCAGCAATGATAATGTGAAGGTCAGGACAGAATTTAGAGAGAGCAATAGCAGTAGAACCACCAACTCTTCCAGTTCCACCTAATATTAATACTCTTGATTTTTTCACTTTCTCTGGTAGCTCAACTCTGTTGTTCTGCTTTTCATTATTAATCTCCTTTGCAGAACTAGCCATTTTCACTGCCTTTTTCTTGANGCCATTTTCACTGCCCTTTTCTTGAATCCTGTATTCCAATACATGCCTAAACTAGCCATCTTTTTAATTTCTTAATGGGAAAAAAGGAGTATTCTTGAAGTGTTAAAAGAGTACAGTTTCTGCCTCTCTTTTTGCTTTGGCTGAAGAAGTTAACAGTTTATCATCTTCTTGATTACATGCGTGGGAAAACAACTGCCAGAAATATAATGCCTTGGTGGGTCCCATCAATAAAAAGAGCTTTTTATTTTTGCAAAAACTAAAAAAAAGAAGAAGGCAACAGTCTAACTAAAAGCTTTTCCTTTCGAGTGCCTTTAATAAGTTTTCCACCTATTCGGTAGCCACTATTACGCATATTGTTTAAAATATATTCATAGTTTATAATATATATAAAGAGTAATTAATTTCGTTTAAGCGTCCTAGAGTTTAAACCTCAAAGTTCAAATTCGGGATATCGTGTCCTAAAGTTTGAAAAATTATGTCCAGAAGTTCGAATCTTATGTTCTGAATTTTAAATTAGTAGTTTAGAAATTCAAGACACTTAGTCCTGTATTTTAAATTAACAGCTCAGAAATTCAGGACACTAAGTCCTGAATTTCAAAATTCGGGATACTTAGTCCTGAAGTTTGGATGAATTGACCAATCTTTAAATACATTGTAAATTATGGATATATTTTAAATAGTAGGCTTAAAAGTAACTGTTGCTGCACTTCGCCCTATGATTGTGAATAAGGAATAGGTTAGCCTTGAGAATTAAAAAAAAAATCTTGTAGTAAACGCTTTTTTCTTTAATGGAACTTACACAACGTAAACCTAGATTAATCGGGGCTTCAATGTGAATACTGAAGACCAAACACCGGATAAAAACTCATAAAAAATATTTTTTGCAAAAAAATAAAAAAGTTCTTAGTGTAAAAGCTCGTTTTCAAGAATTTGAAGCAAACTTTATTGGGATAGAAGCAATAACGATAATTACACCTCAATAAAGTTAGTCGGGATTAGTTATATGAATTCTCATTAACCATATTGCTCTATTTAAATTTGTATCAATCTAATATTTTAAATTTGTATTTTGCAATAAATATTTAACAGTAAGTTGGTCAGCTTTTATAAATTGGAGTCATAAGTGAATAAGCAGCTCAAACTATAGCTATGAACTAAATTTATGGTGGATAAGAATTTAGTAAATGATAGCTTTTGAGATTACAAAAAATCTAAGTTTGCATTTAGTTCAATTATAGCATAGATATAAACATCTACCAATTAATTCAAATATGGCATAGATTAAATTTTTAGAAAAAGTCTAACCGTGGTTTTTCTTCTTAAAGTTTGAGATTGATTACAATAAATACTAAGTGAATTGAAACTATGGAAAAAATATTAAATTGTTAAGGTAAAATAAACAAATGATTTTTTGAAATAATGCCTTTTCTGAAGTTGACTCTTCTCAATTCCTTTAACTTTTTCACTTTTCTATTTTCTCGTGAGATTATACCATGGGAATGGAGTCGTCTCTATTAGGGAGCGCTTTACCTCACAATGCGGGACTTTATGGCGCGAATCCGGATTTAGTCGGCCCTAACGTGAGTATCGGACACCGAGTGAGAAACCAAAAAAAGTCAGATTATACCCTATTTCATGTATACTTTTTGTTAATGTTATTTAATTGCAAGAAAATGAATTGAGGCTTTAATGTAAGATGAGATCAAAGCATTTCAATCTTGTGCTATAACGAAATGAATTAATAACTCTTTGCCTTTGGAAGTGTGAATACTCCTTACACTCACTTAACTCATGAACACAAATTACAAAAAATCAAGTCTTCATTTATTGCTAAGTAGTCATTTTCCCCTATATAAGAAGCAATCAGATGGTTATAATATTTCACACTACACATTTCTCCTCTTTTCTTACATTTCTTTTAATAGTTCTCCAAATGGCTATTCTTCTGCTTGTTGCACTGCTGCCAAATCTTCTAATATTAGGTAATATGTTAATTTAATTCTTTTTGAGATAGCACCTTGGATGCATAATTCCATTTAATTTTTCGGAAGTCAGTTTTATGCATATATTTTCTTATTCCACATTCTATTCCGTATAAAAATAATACTTAAATTTTTCGCATAACTTAAGTGTGGTTTGATACCACCAATCAAATGTTGCATTAAATAACGCTGGAATTATATTCCTATGCGACCAACGTAATGTTGTATAATTTTAGGTTGGAATTAGTTATACCATACATTACCAAGTCGTCTCACACACACACACACACACACACACACATATATATATATATATATATATATATATCGAATGTATATAACAACAGACCCGATATAGTCCCATAAGTGTGGTCTAGAGACGATAGAGTGTATGCAGACCTTACTCATGCCTTTAAAAAGGCAGAGAGGCTGTTTTCGATAAACCCTCGGCAATATATGTATTCGAATGTATATTAACTTTTTTTATTTATCTGTTATTTTAATTATGCAGGAGTGCAGTCAATTGGAGTATGCTATGGGAGAAATGGCAACAATTTACCATCTCCTCAAGATGTCATAAATCTTTATAAAGATAATGGCATAACAAACTTGAGAATTTATGATCCAAATCCTGAAGTACTCAATGCTCTTAGGGGAAGTAGCATTGAAATAATTCTTGACATTCCCAATTACAACTTGCAAGCCTTAGCAGATCCAAATGCAGCTACAAATTGGGTACATACCAATATTATTAACTATTTTCCAAGTGTTAAAATCAAATATATAGCTGTTGGAAATGAAGTTTCTCCAGGATTTCCTCAAACAGCTCAATTTGCACCCTTTATTCTCCCCGCGATCCAAAATGTACAACGAGCATTAGCAACGTACGGGGTACAAAACCAAATCAAGGTCTCAACGGTCATGTACTCAGGCGTTTTATCAAACACCTACCCTCCTTGGAACGCGATTTTTCGCGATGATCTGAGAGATTTCATCGTCCCGATAGTACAGTTCCTGACACATAATGGCTCTCCCTTGTTGGCCAATATTTACCCTTACTTCGCGTACCGTGGTGACCCGGCCCATGTTGCACTCCCTTATGCACTATTTACCCAACCGGGAGCGGATCCCGGGTCGGGTTATCATAACTTGTTTGATGCTATGTTGGATGCACAGTATTATGCACTTGAGAAAGTTGGTGGAAATAACATAGAAATTGTTGTTGCTGAAAGTGGATGGCCATCTGATGGTGGATTTGGAGCAAGTATGGAAAATGCTGGAACTTATTATATAAATTTGAATAATCATGTGAAATCAGGAGGAGGAACTCCACACAAGCCTGGAAAAATTATAGAAACTTATTTGTTTGCTATGTTTGATGAAAATTTGAAGGAAGGAGATGAGACTGAGAAACATTATGGAGTGTTTTATCCTAATAAAGCTAAGAAGTATAATATTAACTTCCAATAGGGAAGTTTTAAAAAAAAATCATGTATTAGTATAGGATAGAAAGACAAATTAAAGACTCAATTCATGACTGGCTTGATCTAGTCAAAATATTGTTCTTGCTAATTATATGGTTGCAAGCTTAATTATATGAAATCCCTTCTCTCTCTCTCTCTCTCTCTCTCTCTCTCTCTCTCTCTATATATATATATATAGTCAAACTTCTCTATAACAACCTCGTTTGTTCCGAATATTTTTGAATGTTATAGCGAAGTGCTGTTATAGAGAACATATATTATAACATAACATAAAAATTAGTTCCGGAAAAGTATGGCTTTTATAGTGAAGTGTTGTTATATAAGGATGCTGTTATAGAGAGGTCTGACTGTATATATTGTTACACATAAATATCGTAGACAAATCACATAGTTATACGGGAGAGATGTTGGATACAAAAGAAACAAACCTTAGATTCTTGTAACGCGAACAATATCATTAGTGGAATGAGTTGTTATACTTGCCAATGGAGTTTTGAAATTTATATTAAAATCAAAATTGAGAATTTGAAAATTATAGCTCTAGAAAATTGTGCAGCTCTTTTCATTTCGAGTACTGGATATGATCTATCGTTATTGGCATAATAAGTTGAGATTCTTCAGTGTTAAACTTTGCATATTTAGCTTTCGCAACTTCATTAATTTCTAATTACAGTTACCTTCTTTTATAGTTTAAGGATTCTTTCTTAATAAGAAGCACTTGATAGAAGGTGGTTTAAGATACCTTTAAACTTTATAACTAGTTATTAATTTCAAAAGAATTAAATATTTTTGTAATTTCAACTATGTTTAAATAGTCTAAGTTGAATTTTATAATATCTTTTATAAAATAGCTATCACTCAGAATCCCACTTCCCTTAAAAAAAGAAAAAAAGGTCGATACACCTCGAAAGTATTAACCCACTTTTTTCCCTTTTTTTTCATGTATTTTTGTAATTTATTTTGTTACTTATTCCAGATCAGATTTTGTTTCCTAATGTTATTTGGAGTTGGATTGCATGCAATTTGTCATTATAGGGTTTCTTAAACGGAAAATTTTCTTAAATGAAACTTTCCCAGTTATACTATGAAAAGAACAAAATAATTGTTCACACTATATAAATTTTTATCTATATATAGACCTCTTCTTAAGCCCTTTGTTATTCAATTCCCATCAGAAAATTTCTTGATTTGTTGTCTATTCAACAAAATTAAACAACTTTCTCTCTTTGTTTCACCAAAAAAAGGAAAAAAAAAATCATGGGGTTCAAATCAAGAAATCATGGCCAGACTATTTACTATGGAAGAAAGACTACTAGACGTAAGTTTTTTTTTTTTCCTTCTGTATGTTAAATTGTTTGTTTTTATGTTTTTTTTTTTTCTGTTTTTGGGATTTCATTTGATATATAATTGTTATAAGTCATTGAAAAAATTGATTAAAAAAAAAAGATAAAGCACAAAAGAAGTAGAAGTAGAGACACTCTCACAGATATATCAGAAAAAGTAATTTTTTGGCCTAAATTTGGTTATATATTCGATTGTTGATCAGTATCATAAAGAAATTAAGCTCTAGAAATTTATTTTATCTTTTTAAAAGCTATTTTATCGTCATTTAAGCGAAAGCTTTCGTTTTTTCCCTCTCTGCTCATGTTATCTTCGATTTTTTTTATCCAATGAAGGTTTTTAAGCGGTTTCCTTTTTTTAGGGCTGAGGTATAGAGAATCATCAATAGTTTCCGTCTGAATTTCTCAACAAGTTGATGCTAAGAAATTTCTAATTTTACTTATATTTGTTCTTACATTAAAGATTTTCCCCCTTATATAAGGTTAATTGCCTTAGACATTTTACACTCTAACTATAAAAGCTTTAATTTCAAAGGTTAAAAACTAGAAGAAAAATAAAAGGGCGAACACCACGAGATTATTGATTGCAAATGTGTAACTGTGTTTTTTTTTTTAGTTGAATAAATGAGGAGCAAAATTAGGATCGGAGAAACAAAAATTAATGAAGGAATTAATTAACAAAAAAACAAAAGGCAACCCTCTTATCATGAATCTCTTTATTTATGATTATTTATAGAACATTGGCTGATATTTCTTGTAATCGATTTATTTAGATTCAATATTTATTCAGTCTTGTTTTATTTTCCGGTTTCTATTCACATTTATTACGGACGTTTACATGTTCTTTATCGTTTACGTGATGTGATAGCATAAAAATTTGCGTGTAAAAATTTAATCTAATTTTTTATTTCAGTGTCGCTTTATTTTCCAATGACTAATCACATTTATTACAGACGTTTACATATTCTTTATCGTTTACGTGATCTGATAGTATAAAAATTCGCGTGTAGAAATTTAACCTAATTTTTTTCTCAATTAGGGATTTGGGTGCCGGCAGTTCCTGCATGGGAGAAGGAATTTTGTTTAAAGAATGGTGAATTCACATGGGAAAATTTCTTGGAATGCAAGAGATATACATATCATTTTGAAAAAATATTGGAATGGAATGATTCAGCTGCTGAAGAAGCATTTAATTATGCAAAAAATAGATTTAATGCTGAGTTTCATAACTTGAAATTTGTTGATACTAATTTTGAGCCAAACCCTAATCTCTACATTGATGAAATTGATTGGAATAATTCAGAAATTGATCCTCAGCTTTTATTGGAATTGGAATTGGCATTGAAAGCTGCAGATGAAGAAGATGATGGAATTAATATTCCTAAGCATTTGAGGAGAACTTATGAAATGCCAATTGAGAAAATTGTACCAACAGGTTGGGATGTTGTTGATTTTGTTGAATGTAATATTTTGACTGGTCTTATTGTGGGTGATCATAGCAGTTGTGGTGAAGGTGCTGAAGTCTCACGACGTCCATGTCGGAGGACGGGCTGATCAGTAGAACGATCAAGAAGAAGACGGGCATGTTTTTAGACAGATAAATTTTTATAGTATGCGTGTTTTAATTTATAGTAAAGACGGGTGATCGTAGTAGTTGTGATGAAGGTAGTGAAGTCTCACGATGCTCATGATAAAGGACGGGCTAAATAGAAGAGGTGAAAAAGAAGACATGTGAAGTAGATTTAAAGGATAATAAGTGCCATAGGCTAATTTGGTTGAACCAAAAATTAGATTTTTATGATAATGTATTTTTAATTTCTTTGTTACCTTAATTAAAAAAGCAGCAGGAGCAAAAAAGAGGATTTTCTCATTTTGTTAGAATGTTAAATTATCTTCTATCAAGTTCATAAAAGTTACTCTTTTTTTTCAAATTATGTTTGTTCTCCCTTGTGCTTAAATATTCATAGTAGTTATCACTTATCTTTTAAACTTCAGAAAATGGTTAATTTATTTCGTCTTTCAAGTTTTTATTTTATTTTTTATGATGCGTTTCTAATTTCCCAACTTTTATTAACAAGCTAGGCAATTTATTCTAATTTCTTTTTGAAGATGAGAATAACTTGTTTAGCACTTATAACTTTTGGCACCATGTTGTAATTAACCAACCATGGTTTTAATTAACTACTTTAGAGGGAAATGTTATTATTTAAAAAAAACTAGAGTAAAACAAAAAACAAATGTTATCAACTAATTAAATAGGAAGAAGAAAAATGTATTTACCTAAAATTACGATACAAGTTTATAGCTTCAAGCTGGATAATTATGTTTGTATATGAATACATTTAAAATAACAAATTAATGTATATAAACACATTCTTGTGCATAAATTATACAATTTTAACTTCTATATACACAGATAGTGTAAAAAAATCTCTACACTATCAGATCACTTAAAAATAACGATAATCAGTAACCATTCACAAACGTACGATTAATAACTTAGAGAATAATGCAGGTTATATATATGTTACAATAGGTTGAAATACATATATAATGTAAAAAAATTACAAGTGCATATATAAGATAATTAATCTTCCTAAATAATACTAACAAAGAGTGTTCACTTTCCAAACTTTTCTTCTTCTTTTTTCACCTTTTACAAACTTCTCTTCAAACTGAGATTTTCTGTACTTTCCTTTACAAAAATATATGTTTGAGAGTAATTTTTTTTCCTTTTTGTAGCATGATAGTTTCTCCGAATTATGTCAGGAATTTGATTAACTGAATCCTAGTAGTATGTCTGAAATGGAAAAGAAACTATAGTCATTCCTATTTGATTAGTAGAATAAAGTAAACAGATTCAATTTCAAACTGAAAAATTAAAAATCTACTCAAAAGAAATAATTTTGGTATGCTCTTTATTACAACCCTTGACCAGTAGAAAATAATTCACTTATTTGTGGAAAATAATCTTTTCCTAAAATATATTTTTTCGTAGCCATATCATGGGTCGCTAAAGGTTTAAAATAATCCCCAAATAATAACATTTTATGACAAACCTTTCGTCAAAAATAAAATTCTTAGTCATTTATGATCTTCATCTATTATCTATTACCATTATATTGATAGATCAAAATGTTCATATAAAATTGAACTTTTTGGCCCTTAAATGCATCTTTTGACATTAATGTACAATTTCTTTTTATGATAATTGATTATCAAATCTTGCAAGTGAGAGAAAAACATTTAATATTTGACAATAACGGAGTATAAAAAATGTATTTTAACAACTACTATCTATTAACATGCATTTAAATCAATCTAAACTTCTAATCCATGCAATTAATATTATAAACTAGTAAATTTACCCGTGTTTCGCGCGGTCATGAAATATATTTTTCAAGTTTACTAAATAATTAAATATATACAAAAAATAATAAAATATGATATTACAAATTTCTCAATATTAAAAAAATAGCAGAAACATCAACATAATGTGAGATAACTCGGGTATAATTAAAAAAAATTAATGTGAAAAATATCTCAGATTTAAGTAATGTAGATAGAACTTTCAATTAGTAGTTAGTTACATATTTTGTAATTTCCAATTTTTCTTATAAGAGGAAGAAAAGAAAAATAGGTAAAA